TCAATCTTATAAGGATTATTATATGATATTGCTAAGGAACTTTAGTATAACTTATATTTTCATTACAATAAATTTTAGAAGTTAATAAAAAAGACATTTGTGCATTCAAAGCATGCTCCGGGATAATAATTTTAGTCATTAGAAATAGATTTTTTTTAAAAAATATATGCTAAATAAATATATATAAGACTTTATATAGTTTAATATTAGTTGATATACATACATCATCAGAAGTAATAAAAAAATTGGCAATAGGAAATCAGAAATCATCGATTTCTTTTTTTTTTGTTCTGCAAATTTCACATTTTTTTGCAAACCACAATAATTAAAAAATAAAACAACTAAAAAAATACTATACAAAAATTTTGCCGACCAATCAAATTTTCAAGATCACATAATATAAATTTGTAAATTTTGATTACATGTGATTTTAAAATTTGAATGGCCGGCAAAATCTGACTTTTTTGATTTTTTATTCTTAATTAATTTAAACTTTTATTTTTTTATTTAACATATTGATTTTTTAATTTTAAATTAAACTTAGGTTTTGGGCATTAGCTAAAGTAGTTTCAGGCAGCATTATTAGTATTTATGGTATTGGGATTTTTATGCCATTATATTACACAGGTCACATAACTTTCGCTACTTGGTGAAGTTTCAAACTCCATTTTGGCGGAGTTTGAATTTTGCCAATTTCGCAGGAATGCGAAATGGCAAAAGTTACGTGATACTGCCACTAAGGCGGACTTTAAAAATCTCCGATTAACAGAGTTACTTATGATACGCTAGTCTCTGCCACAAAAAAAGTAACGGGCCCTATGAAATAGCCCTGCTGACACAGGAGTATTTCATAAGGCCCATTACTTTTTTTTTGTGACAGAGATTAGTATATTATAAGTAGAAAGATTAATTTTTTGTACATACTATATATTTAAGTGGCCAAGTCTATTAATAAAATCTTGTCCAAATCCTGTAAAAAAATTTTATATTATATATAATTTAGTGTAATAAACATATTATTTAGCAAACTTTGTTCAATTTATTTAACAAAAAATCAAGTTCATTATGTATCCATAGAATTAGGCCTGTGGCTTTAAAATTTTTATAAATTATACGGGTTGTAACTTTTATTATTAAAAAAAATTTTTAGTATATAATATATAAAAAATTTTTACAATTAAATAATAAATTGATTGTATATTTTATATATTAAATTTTACAAATAAATAAAATCTTTTGACAAACTTTTATATGTGACAAAAAAAATCTATGAAATTAGATACTATTACTTTACATATGTAGCTTAAATTCTGTGTTTTTTTAAAAGGTTTTTTAATTACTAAAAAAATTTTTAGATGAGAGCTAAAGTCAGTATAGTTTTTTTAAAAAAATAAAAAAATTAATTGAATACAAAGAAAAATTAATACATTATTAAAGCTTAAAGCTAAAAATTTCAAAAAATAGCATGTTGAAATTCAATGATTTCTATATTAGTAATAAAAACTTTGGCCCAATTTGATGAGATAATTGTTGAGAAATTAATTTTTTAAATTTGAGTTTCATTTTTAAAAATTACAAAGTGAAATCTTTTAATCAAAAATATCACAATATCTAGTGAATCAAATTTGATTATTTTGGTATCATTTGAATTATCTTATGAGACAATTCAAATGATAGCAAAATCATCAAATTTGAATTGTTAGAACATGAGATATTTATGAAAAATATTATACAATACAAAAAGAGTCAGGTCTCAACAAATTAAAATAAAAATCAAAACTTTAAAAATTAATTTCTCAATAATTATCTCATTAAATTGAGTCAAATTTTTTGTACCTAATACAGAAATTATTTAAGTTTAATCTATTAATTTTTAGAAATTTTAGCTTTAAGCCTTGACGATATATTAAATTTTTTTGAATATAATTATTTTTTTGGATGAAAAACATCCCAACTTTGGCTCTCATCTAAATTTATTTGTAGTAATTAAAAAATCTTCAAACAACATACACAATCTAATCTGTATATATACTAACGTTTCTGTAATTTTCAAGATCATAGCACCTTTTTATGAGGAGATATAGGTGCAGGAAACGTTTGTCAAGCACTGTATATATATTTATTTATATTTTTATTTAACTTCTAGATAACTGTTTTGATTTTGACTAAGGTTGCTGTTCTTAATTGGGTTGATCAGTTGAACAAATGCCCTTTGAAAATTTCTTTGATTGGAATTTCCCAGGAGTTGCCAATTATTCCGAAAAATGATAAATATGCTTTTTTTAACGTATTAATAAATGATTATACTGTGTATAATTTTAGCGTTAAGATTGTTTTTCTGCATTCTTATTCTTGGCTTGCACATCTGAAGAGTACTATTCATTCATATGATTCACTCTTTTTGTTGTTTTTCAAATAGATGTTATTGATAATGATTTTTATATTTATACTAAAGCTGTTAATTTCGTTGATATTGGTTCTTTAAAGTAAAAAAATTTAGATGATAGTGATATAAGGAATTCTACTAAAGCAGCTAGTATGATTTGGTCAAAACTTCTTTTTACTCATCAAAATATTCATAAAATTTCGAAGAATGTTTCTAAGGCCAAAGGATTATCTTCAACAGATTTGAATAATAGTGTTTTATTATCGGGTAGTGTTTCTTCAAAGCATGTTAGAGTTGAAGATGACGATGATTCTATTGAATCTAATAATGTTCTTAGTAGTGTTGATGGTGAATACTCTAAGTCAGTTGGTGTTAGTAATTCTATTAATATTGTTCAGAATGATGAGATTGAAGCTATGGTTAAAAAGGAGAATAGTCAGGGAAATGCTAATTATGGTAGTAAGAAAAAAATAATTATGTTGGTCATTCTTTACGTAGTGGTTTAAGATCGTATAAGTCTTGAACATATTTAAATTTGTTGTATAGAATTTATTGTTTGATTTTACTATTTAGTATGAACAATTTGTGTATTTATATCATATTCTTTAAATAAATATTGATTTATATGTGTTTTTTAAGTTCATATATTTGTGCTTGATGATTATTATTTGCACTTGTGTTAGAATTACAATGGTTTATATTGTGTAAAGTTATTATTTTTTATTTTTGGTATTTTTTTTTTGTTAATTTGGTATGTATATTATTAATAAGAATAATAATTTTAACTAAAATTTTTAATTTGTTAATATTATTATTATTTTTTACTAGAATTTGTTTGTTGTAAGCATTTGTGTAGACAAAGGGCAAAATATTTTGTGCTGATATTTTTTTTTATTTTACTTTTTTTATATTCTAATTACTTGTATATATATTGAATTTTTTTTTACTGAAGTATTTATTTAACTGTAGTTCGTGAGTTTCTTTTATAAATAAATAGATTTCAAATATATGTAAAATTCATAAAGATGAAGAAAATTTATTTTTGATAACAGTTTTATCTACCCAATCAAGTAAACATTTTAGACTTTCTTCTTTTACCATTAAATTTTCTGTATTATTTGTCAAATATCTTATAATAACCTTTCAATGTTATAGAAACACCTTAGCTGAAATGCTAAGTTTTTATTTAATTTGGCATTTTTAGAACTGCTTTTTATCACAAAGTACATTCTTTATAAAACTTAGACTTTTACTAAAATGCACCTATGGTGTTTTACACCATAGATTCCATTTCTCAAAAAAAATATACTAAGTAAACGGAATCAAGTTTTCTAATTAAAAATATTTAGAACCCCCAAAAACCTTATTAGAACTGAGATTAAACTCTATTAGGCCCTTATATTAGCTCTATATTATATTAGATAAAAAAAATTCTTAATTTCCTAATTCTAACTCTAAATTTTATTAGAAGCAATTAAATATAGATGCTAAAACACTATAGATGCATTTTATAATAATTTTAAAACTTATATAGTTTTAAAGTTTTTTTTAAATTTAATATAGACTTATATAATAAGAATTTTTATATAAGACTTAGTATAATATTTATATAAATTTTATGACTTTTTTTACTATTCAAAATTTTATGAAGTAGCATATGATACATGAGTTAAAATTTTTAATAAATATGTAAAAATATACTATAAATAAATCAACTTTAAAATAATTTATATACCAGGTGTTTCAAAAGTTCTAAATTATAGTTCCTCTTTTTTAAGTAATCTTATATATAGAGATCATTTATACAAATATAAATAATCATTGTAATCTCTATATATAAGATCACTTAAAAGAGATTGTGCTTTAGAACTTTTAAAACATGATATGACTGTATTAGATTTAGAGTTTACTTTAGATACACTATGTAAATAATATGAAATTATTATAATACCAAATAGTAATTCAGGATTCAAATTTGTCTCCAATTCCAAAAAGCCACATTGATTCTATTATTTTATAAATATAACTAGAATGAAAAAAGAAACTACTCCCTTGGCCAATCAACTAAAAAACCAAAGTTAATAAATAATAATATAAGCATAGTATAATAATTTTAGACTGCTTTTTATACCCATTTTAAAAATTAGAAATATATACAAAAAAGTGATTGTTTAGTTTTTATAAAATGCAAATCCAAAGAGTTACTTTAAATATAAAATGTAATTTTGGAAAAGGAATCTTTATATACTTTCCATATTAAAAAATTCCTATACTTACTATTCATATGTTGTTTAATAGATATTTATTAATTTTTTACTGTAAAAAAAATCTTTAATTTTTATTATATTTAGAATATTGATGATAAAAGTATGCTTTAACCCAATCTATGAATAATAAGCAAATCAAATGAGTAACTATAACCTTAATTTTTTTTCTTTAATATTGTATTTATATTAAATTTACTTTAATCTAACTAATTATATTTTTAGCAACTTTGGTGAAAAACAATAATTATTAAAAGTATAAACCTGATTTAAATTATGTTATTAGTACTTTTTAAAGTAATTAACCTTTAATATTATTAAAGAAGATACTGCAACCAATCTTGCTAGAAAGAGAATACTTACTAATATTTCAAATTTTAGCCAAATTATATATCAAGTATATATGTTTATTAATAAGACATTGCTCATAGCAGAATTTCTTGAATCTAATCTAGTTGTGTTGATAATTGTATATCTAAACACATTTGGTAAGACTACAAACATATTGATGATTAAAGACTTTATTTCAATCTCCAATTAATCTAATAACATCACAATTATCAAAACAAGCTGTTCAGAAAAATAAAGTTAATAGAGAAAGCAGGCATAGTTAAGTTATATTTTTGCAAGTATTTAGTAATATATATTTCTTTAAGGTATATTAATATATTTATTATTTTGTAAACAATTTGTAATTATAAGAAGTAATTAGAAATATACATATTTATTTTTGTATACAGTCAACCCTCTCTAAGTGCACTTCCCATAAATGCATGGACTATGTATACACTCTCTAAATGCATGATAATGTTCATTTCAAGCATATAGAACTCTTAATAAAATGTCTTCTATAAATGCACACCTCTAAATACACATTTTTAAAAATTTTGCCTATGATTCCAAGGGGTGCATTTAGGGAGAGTTGACTATATGAATTTATATAGATTTGTATTAATATATATAAGAAAAAAGTTTATATTATAATTGGAAAATGTAAATTTTTTCTAGTGATTATGTATATTAAAGTGTAAAAATGAATGTATATATATAAATATCACATATTAATACTATGCACAAATAGTCATATATATATAAATACATATTCTTATCTATAATTATAATTGTATTTATCTACTTCTTTTATTCTCTTTAACAGAATTACCAGGAATAGAGTAATATTGAAAATTTCACGAAGTGTAGGGCTATATAGATAGTTAAGTAGTGTTTGTTTGCAAAATCTTACATATTATTGAATTATGCATAAAGTGAAACAAGAGTGTAAATGTATATTGAAAACATCGCATGTTGCATCTTTATATCCATTATACCACTCGCTTCTATATTTGTATATTACATCAAATTCTTATTCTAACTTTAAATGAATAAATATGTAATTTTTTGCTTTGATTTTTTCACACTTAATAGAAAGCTATATTATAATTACAGAATTAGTTAGAAATTAAAAATTCCTACTTTAGTTAAAAAAATGAACAAAATAATAATAGATAGAATTAGTTAGAAATTAAAAATTCCTACTTTAGTTAAAAAAATGAACAAAATAACAATAGATAGAATTTAGTAAACTTATCTTTGCAATCATCTTCTTAGTAGAATAATTCACTATGCTTTTATTTAATTTAATACAAACTTACTATATATTAATAAATTAATTATATATTATATCAGATAAAAGTATTCTTTAATTTTGAACCAAAATTTTACTTATTTTAAAGATTATCTTAATTAATAATTCTGGCTTATTAAAATATATTGTCTTTATTCTAATTAAAATAAATATTGCTAATTTTAATTGCATTCTAATTATAGAATAAGATAGGACCTCAATATATATATAGACAAATTAGATTTTAGTTTGCTTATTTTTGATTCTTTTTGTGTAGATTATTTTTATTTATAGTAATTAGTTTGCTTATTTTTGACTTTTTTTTTGTAGATCTTTCTAAATTTAGTAATTTTTGTAAAACTTTACCCCTCCATATATATTTCAGAGTCCTAATAAGATTCTAAGATCTAATTTCTATTTCTGTATTATTGATTTTTAAAATACCTGTTGTATGTATATTAGTTATTCTCTAAATAGATTAATACAAGAAGTTTAACCTTAAACTAGTTAAAAAAACTTATACATACTCAGTTAAAAACCAGATTATCTATAGTGGTTTAGAACCTTTATTATATATAAAATTATCTAAATCTGTTTACTAATTTGTACTTATCTAATGCTAATAATTACAATTAATTAACTAATTGGTGTATTATGCGATCTTATAATTATCAAACTGGTTTTTAGACCAGTTCTGAATTATTTTCTAAAAGTCTAGTCTAGATCTAATTTAAACCTATTTACTGAAACCCCAGAATTATTATATATAATGTGTTTATAGTATATGTTCTAGAAAATAATCTATTCTTCCTTTAGTTTGATAATAATATTTATATATTATTTGCTAGTTTTTGACATAAAACCTAATGGATATCTGCGGATATCCATATGTAATATCATAAGATTTATAATCAATTAGGTGATGTAATTGTCTTTTTGTAAATATATATGATCTAATTATTTTTATTTTAAATTCTGCTTGAATTAAGCGTAATACAGGCCAAAATTCAAAATAATGCTCATGCCCAGGGTTGTTAATTTATTAGTAAGTTTTGGTATATTACAACCTAGATAAAATGCCACTCAAAAAAGTTTTAAAAATTATGTAATATTGTCAATTCAGATTAGATCATGATAATAATATTTAATAAAGTATTAATTAATTCAAAAATGATTTGTTTTCTTAGATTTTTCAAAATTTAAAATAATTGTTACAATCTTTTAAAATATAAAATTAAATAACACAATATTCTAAAAACACAATTGTTTATTATAACCAAATTTCTACTAATGATAAACAAAAAAAAAAAAAAATTATAAAAACTAATCAGACAAATACAATTACACTAGTAGATTTTATTTTGAATACTCTTTCAGAAAACTATATCTGATTACTTATTTAAGCAAAAAGTTTTATAATTTTGAATTCAGTATGCAACAAAAAATTGATGAAATATAATCAATCCAAATAGTAAAAATGGCCAAATAGTAAAAATGAATCAATAAAAAAAATTTTGCATTAATTAGAGAATTTATAATATGGAAATCCTAATAATAATACTTTATAACTAATAAATATCATTTATTAAATAATAAAATGATTAATTTATTGCTTATTGTTATTATTTTTTAGTTTTTTTGGTACTTAATAAATTATCTCATAATGATAAAAACTTTTTTAAGTGAAAATTTTACCTCGATTGTAAGTTACTAATAAAAGTAAAGCATTTAATAACTTACTATATTAACTTACCATAATTATCACAATAACTTATCATGATAAGTTATTATTAACAACCCTGCCTATATCCGCTATTTCAAGTATTTACAATAAATATGTTAATGCAGGCTATATGTTATATTAACATCTACCAGATGCTGTAGTAATACCAGCCAGATAATTTTATTTGGGTTTATATTAAAAATTCTGTGCAGGTTCTATTCTTTAATAAATATGTTGATATAAATAATATTAAGCTCAATTTTTGAATAGCTTATCATCAAGTTCATTATATTAATTTTAAATATTTATTTTTTAAAAAAATTCTACACATGCTCATCTCTAACTTCAATACATACTAACTAAACCCTAACTATATACAATAATTTTGTACAACCAACTCAACTAAATTTGCAATCACTAGAATAGCAAATAATTTTAAAACAAATTTAGAGCAGTGACATATATTACGTAATATTATTTTATCATAGAGCTACTCCCCCTCTATATAAGACCAATTAGCTAATTAAATTGTATAATTAGTCTTATGAAAAAATTTTTTTACCCCCCTAGGATATTATATAATATCTGTCACAGCTCTTATAGCAACCGACTTAATTATATATATGCCACTAGAAAATAAAATTCAAAGTCAAAATTTGGTGCACAACGCACACTAAATTTTAGATTCAATATGTGCAAAGTTCGATATAGTAGAACAAGTCTAACTATATAACGATATTATTTTAAATATTTATTAAAAAAAATTGCATATGCTTTGCACACAGCATTATATTTTTTTTGTACACAAAAAAATTTTCTGTGTGCAAAGCGCACATGCGCATATGCGCACATTGAAATTTATTCACTAGTGGCCACTGGAGTACTAAGTTTTGTAATAGAACTTTTTTTCTTTACATTATCCTATAATTGAAATCATGATATTTCTAATACAAACTAACTCAACTAAATGTTATTGTTACTAAAATAGCTAATAAGTTTTTGTATTAGTAATACAGTAAAAATAATATTAATGTTAGCTTTACTATATACTGCATTCACTGCAATAGCAAGTTTAGTGACAAAATATTTTATAGTAATTGTAAAAATTATGTTAATTTCAATACAAACAAGCTAATTTTAACTAGTGTATCTGTTGTATTAGAAGTAAATTCTGTTAGAGTTTTTTTTAGTAAATAACAATTATAGTAATTCTAATACTAATTAATTCGACTCTAATTGCATATTATGAATACTGCAATAGTTGTTAAACTCTGTATAAAATATATACTATACAGCACCACTTATCATACTTTTTCTGTTTAATATTAAGGTAAATAAACAATTCTATATAATAAAAATTAAAATTAAATACAATGCAATTAACTCTGATTTTTATTGTATAAAGCTTTAACTTCACATAACTTGACAAATTATTAAATAATATAGTAAAACCTCTATAAGTATATATACTTGGGATCAAGCTTTAACAGCATGTATTTAAAGATTAATAAGAGAAAGTGCATTTATAGATGCATGTATAGTATATATTTGGGCCAAAACTTGAGCATATATTTAGAAAAATATACTTTTATAGATTAATACTTTTGGAGATTTTACTGTATTATTGTATTACACAGAGCAAAATAAATCAAAAATCTAATCTCTGTTGATATTATAAAATTAATAAGACTTGTTAACTGTTTATATAAATAATCACTACTAAAACACAACAAAAAATAGATGAATTATTTTTTTCTCATACGGTTAATTAAATTAATAATAAACTATCTGTTTCTTTATCATTATATTATTTATTCAAATTTAACTACTATCTAATCTCCTGTTTCTGGTTTTGTATAACAACATCACACAGCTATCTAGTATGATAACTATAGAAGTTGGAAAATGGTACAGAATAGATTTTATAAAGATTTGAAAAGGCTCTTTGAAGAGTATAAATATATATAGAAGTTTTGCAAACCAGGACAAAAATCGCTATAATAATATAACTAATATAGTAAATCTAAGCTTTTTGATATATTCATTATATAATCTTTTCTATTGGCTAAATTCTTATCATAATCAAAGATATATTATATTAATTGATTCATATAATCATATACTAAATATTGTCTAATCAAATAATTACTATATTTTACTATAGAAGGTACTCCCTTTGATTAGTACTCCCCTTTGATTTGTACTGGGCATATTTCAAGGCTATTTGTTGTGATGCTTTGTAAGATACCCAAGTATTGATCAAGGCTAATTACTAATAATAATTTTTTTATACTTATGGGCTAATATTACACTTCACACAACGTACCCTACACAACATACTCTATACAATACAAGGTACCTCAGGTATAAATCATAGTTTTTACCACATGAAATTAAATCATACCCAGGTACCTTGCATATTAATATAAGGTATTATAGAGAAGCTCATAATTTTTTACTTCAATATTAGAAGTGGCTTTAAAGGTAAGCAATATTTTGTATTTTATTTAACTTATTATTTTGGTAACAAAGTAAACAAATATCTATTGCTGGTTTTTAATATAGAATAATAAATATTTAAAAAAGCTTTTTTTGTTAGTACATCTCAAACTGTCAAGTATGGGTTTACAAATATATATGCTTTCACAATAAATAATATAAAATATACTGACAAATTTGGATTCACAGAAAAAGAAGTTTTATATTATTACCCAATACAATAATTTTGAAAGTTACAATAAAGAAACTAAACAATAGTATAGTAGTTATAAAGCCAGAGGTGATATTTAGCTTTATAATACTTTTTCTATAAACTCTATAATAAATAGAAAGGTTTTCAAAAAGTATAAAATTGATACAGGTAAGTTAGCAAAGTTTGATAAGTATTTGAAACCTGAACTAGTGATGTCTAATGAAAGCATATGATGCTAATTTTCATATAGTACAATATGAGGGAGAGTCAATAGAATCCAGACAAATTGTTTTTAGTAAGTTTTTTTAAAACTTTAAATTAAAATATCTTAGCAACTATTAGACTAAACTTGATGAAAATTTTTTTATTTTAATTCTATAACTAAATGGAATTAAAATAAAAAAATTTCTATCAAGTTTGGTTTAATAGTTGTTGAGATATTTTAATTTAAAGTCTAAAAACAATTTACATAGAAACAATTTGTCTGGATTCTATTGACTCCCCCCCATATATAAAAATTAACAAACTATTTTTATTTTTTATAAATAATAGTATGTAATAATTAGTATTATATGTTTCATCATGTATTACTAACCCAAACACAAGATTGTACCCAAGTATTGGCAAAGGACAAGTGTACAAACTTTGGGTTGTTAATAGATTGAATTGAATTAAGACTTAGTTTCAATCCAAACTAATACAGAGTATTAAGTTCTAGTATAATACTTCAGTTTTATCTCTTATATAGCAATTGAAGCAAATATTATATTTAACATATTTTACAAATTACTCCAACTGGTTTGAATGTGTAATAATATACATATAATACTCCAATTAACAATACTAGTTATGTATATAAGCTTAAGCATGGATATAGTAAAATGATTTAATATAGGCGTATATAAAATAATATGAGTATAAGTACAAATTTTAATATTTTGTACTTACTTAGTTGTGATTGTAATCACACTTGTACTAACTTTGTATCATTCTAAAATATAATAGGGAATATTGTTTCATTTAGAAGACTACTTTGTCAATTGTCAGAAGATATTTACTGAGAGTAAGATTATAGTAGAAGTATTGGAGATAGATTATGAAAAAAAAGTATCCAAAGCAAATAAAATTTTCTAGGCACTGTTATACTATAATGAATATTTAACAATAGATATAACCAAAAATTGACAATTCTGAATAAGAAATTAAAATTAGACTTTCAAGATTTATCACTAGAAAAATATAAAAACTATATATATTCAATTAACTTCTATGCTAGATATGCTATTATGAGAGAATATCCAAAAATTCAAGCAATATCTTTTTAAAATAATTATAAAGTTCTCTTATACCATAATATCAGTAAAAATCAAAATGAATAAGAGTACAACCTTTTCATAATTGGACTTCTATGCAAATTCATTTTTATAAGTACAAAACAGTTTCAAATAGAGAGGAGAGATTGGAACACTTTGATTGAAAATTGCTCCAAATATAAAATTTGAAACGTCAATTGTCATGGAGTTTAAAATTTTAAGGAGAGATAAAAAGAAAGTAGAAGATATTGGCAAGCTACTTTGAGATGCTGCTGAGAAGGATTGGCACAAGTTTTAACGAAAAAAATACTGTGCTAGCACTCTAGCAAGAACTAAAAAACCAGTTGAATGTGGAATTGCATTTGAAGATAAAGTAGCATGTGTTATCTGTAAAGTTTTCAACAAAGAAGACAATAATTGAATAGAATCACATAGATAGATCAAATATGTTCTATGTACCATTATATTATTCAATTTTTTGATATTTATTTGATGCTTATACTCAATAGCAAATAAGTAAAATTTTACATATCATTATAAGCTACAAAAATTAATTTATTGCTTATTTATTACATAAAATTTACCTATTGAACAAATATTCAAACTTGTTTTTGTTATTAGAACTAGTGATGGCATTTGCATAAATTTTAAGAATTATGCTTATAATTTTGTAAGCATATTTTAATGAGTCTAGTACTGAAAGTATATCTAATTTCTTTCTTGTTATCTGGTATGATTGAACAAATATATGAGTATTGGCAAAATATAAGCAAAATCATGTAGCCAAAGGCCTCATGCATTGTAATTATGCCATTGATATCTAATCTGTATATCATGCCAGATAGCTAGTTTATTTGACAAGTATGACATATATACACTTATGAAAAAAATTTTATATTACTTCCATAGATTTTTATATTAAAATTAATTAGAATTTGTTTTATTATTTTAATAAAAATTTGTAAAAATAATTCAAAATTTTTTCAGTAGAGTTTACATAGTACCTGCTGGATAATTAAAAAATTTTGTTATTAATAAAATAGAGATTAAATAAGAAAAAACTAATTTAAGATTTTTAAATTTATTATTGCTATCTAAGCCACTAAAATTAACCTCATACTATATTTTCTTATAATAAACTAGAAATTGTATATGCAGGTGACTTTGCTGCTTGTTTTAATAGTTGTGTATACAGATCAAAGTTTAATTATATGACAGTAATTTGGATACTGCTGATAAATTAATAGTTTTTATATTTCTAAATTAATTAAAATAAATGAGAAGCATTACTTGATAGTAAAGATTCACGAACTTAAATAATTTATTCAAATACCCCATTTTATAAATTATTTTTACTAAATTATCATAATATAAAATTAATAATAAATTAATATTTTTCTACTACCTACATAGTAAAATTAAATAAAATGAATTCAAATAACTTGATGTCTAAATACCTTATCTATTTAATCAGTATAAACAAAATGAAGTTAATCAAGTTGTTTAAAATTATGTAATTACAAATTTAATGAATTAGAATTCTCCTGAATTAATTTGGTAAAATAAATACTTTAATTAAGCAAAATAAATATTCCATAATTAATATAAATGGGTTTATATTTTTGTATAGATCTCTAGATTTTTAATACATGATAAATTATGAATCAGTTCTGATCAGTGTATAAAATTTGAAAACAATTTTCATATTTTTTGTGCACATTTTAAAAATTTTTATATAAAATTGTACACAACTTATATGTTAATTAGAAAAAATTAAACACACTAAAATAAAATTGTACACATGTGCACACTGTGCAAATAAATTTTAAACACTAGTTCCAATCAAATAACCAACAATTAATTTACAGACAATGTTTATTTTACAGATGATAATTCACGGACAATGTTTATTTTACAGATGATTAATTCACAGACAAGTTAATTTTATAGACAATATAATTTGACAACAGTTTATTACACAAATTTTTTTTAATAAATTGCACTAATCTTAAGAGTTTACTGTATTCCAATGATAATAATCAGAATTAATTTGTTAGTGAAATGAGCTGTCAGTAAAATATACTGTCCATGAAATGAACTTGCCTATGAATTAATTATCAAGAAAATAAACTTGCTTGTAAATTAATTTTCATAACTTAAATTATCTATGAAGTGATTATCAGTGAAATAATACAGGTAATAATTAATAACAAATGTTAATAATTAGTAAATAAATTTCTGTAAGATATTTGGAGCCACTTTCATGGCCCATAACTTCTTACAAATACTTGATTCATCAATTGATTTATACTAACATAATGATATTTTTTTACCTACTATAAAATTGTTCATAACAACCAGCTTCTCCTATTATCAACTAAACCTAAATAGTGAAATGAAATGACAACTCTGATGAAAGGGAATGAAACTAATGAAAATGACAAAATTATGAAAAGTGACAAAACTGAAAAAGGTGTAGATCTGACAGAATGTGTAAAACTGGCAAAATTGCAAATGTGTAGATCTGACACAATGCGTAAAACTGGCAAAAATTGCAAATGTGAAAATGACAAATGTAAAAAATTGATGCATTTAAAAATATATGCCAAATTTACGTGATACTAAAACCATACATGTTGGCATAAGGTTTGCCTTATGAGATAAATTATTTATTTGTGTAAGATAAAATAAAGCTTTTAAAGTAGAATTTAAAAAATAAAAATCAACTATTTCTTTTATCCTCATTGTATAATACAAATCACATGTTTGCTTATATTTGGCTACACAAAATTAAATGAATTGAAGATCAATAAATCATTTGATAAGAATTAATAAATAAAGCCATATACACGGGTTATAAATATTTGTAATGACTTTTTCAAGCATCCTAGTCACAATAAATAACCTTGGCGAATGAAGAAAAAAATTAAGAATCTTTTGCTATGAACTTTGATGATCACTGATTATCCATTCATCAAACCGGTTAAAAATCTGAAAGAAAAAAAAGAAAAAGTGACAAAAATTAGGGGTAAAAATAAAAACACACATGGAAATGCTCATAATAATAGAAAAAATAAACATAAATTTCACAATTGGTAACATTTTTTTCTTCCTAGCATTTTGCTTTCTAGGGATTGTAAGGAAATTTTTTATGATGATCTCTGCACAATAGTAATAACACACCATAAATATCATAAACAGTACATATAAAGCAAAAAAATATATCGTACACAATCAAATATGGCATGGATAAGCAAACCAAAATTATAAAGGGCTAAATATTTGCAAATTTTATTTATATAAATATATAGATAAGTAACTAGGCGCTTGAGTTAGTTTGTATAGAATAGAGTATTGTATTATAATCTTAGTGCAATTCTCAAATTTTTATCAATATAATATTATACTAATTATAGTAGAGCTTTATATTTATGATTATACTTGCTGCCCAAACCTGAACAAATCCCAAACCCCTAAAAAACAATTTCTATTTATAAAAAATTAAATCAAACAAATAATTATAAAATTTTACAAA